AAAGTCACTTGAACGCAATTTGCTGAACCAAACATTTCCATAAACTCGTTTGATATTCTTTGTGGCTACAGTGGCATTGCTTCCCTTCTTGTATTCAAACAACATTACATACCGAATGTGTGTCTCGTCATGTACCATCACTATAAGGGATTAGAGTTTATACTAAACTTTACACATTATATAGGCTACACTAACGTGACGTTTAGGCGGTTCATTTAACTATTATACGTGATGTAGGTTTTTTCGTGGGATGGTTAATTAATTTCTTGATGACGTAATAGTAGTAATAGTGATACATAGAATGAAGAATTGATGGCACGAGGTTTCTTCATCTGATGTTTTACAAAGTCTTGCTGACTGTAAAAATCTCGAAGTTTATTGTGTATTAGTTGTCTTTTTTTTTCTTTCAAAATAGAGACAGAAGAAGCCTTGTGTCGATATCTCAAAGATAAAGCAACACACGAAGAATATTACTAGAAATTCCCTTCTAGAAATACTTGAAAACAAAAGTTCACTTGGTTTGATAACGGAGTGCACGTGCAGTGTATTGTTTTATTAGTTTGCAATTCTCAACACTAGATGGAGTATGTATGAATCGTGGAATAATTTGTTTGTTTGTTTTGTCTATCGTAAAACTAATACTATCTACAGTCGTTCTTAATTTTACACTGCTGACAAGAGGGAAGGCAACCGACCGGTAGCACCCACCGCCAACTCTTGGGTTACATTTTACCAACGAATAGTGGGATTGACCTCAACATTATAACGCCTCCACCACTGAAAAGGCGAGCATGTTCGGTGTCTAATGCTCTATCCACCAACTGTGAAACAAAAGATTGATATACATTTATAATCGATCTTGGTAGAACTTAGAGGAAGTTTTATATTAAAATGTTTAGTACGAGAAAATTTTAAATTATTTAAAATAAAGGGCTTTAGCCATTCTCAAACAAAGCATCAGAGGACTGCGTATATTTATAATCAACTATAACAAGATAAATGTCTTTTGAACACTCAGTTGAAGAACTTCAATTATACCGTCTCGTAAAATGCATACGTTGTGTGTTTATCTTATAGCAAAGCCACATTGGGCTATCTGTTGTGTCCACCGCGAGGAATCGAATCACGGATTTAAGCGTTGTAAGTCCGTAAACTTACCGCTGTCCTACCTGGAGACTTTTCATGAAGAATGTTTCACGGTAATTATATTCTATTATTTACACAAAACCTCTTTATGTCACCGTAAATGGGTTGTCATAAAAATAATAGAAGCTAAACACTCCAAAAGTGCCGTTATGAAAATGATAGGAAATAGCACCGTAAAGGGGTTGTCATAAAAATAATAGAAGCTAAACACTCCAAAAGTGCCGTTATGAAAATGATAGGAAATATGCTATTTCCTATCATTTTCATAACGGCACTTTTGGAGTGTTTAGCTTCTATTATTTTTATGACAACCCCTTTACGGTGCTATCTTCTATTATTGACATGAAGGTCCTTTTAGGGTGTTTATATTAATTTATTTACATGAAAGCCCTTTAGAGTGTTCATCTACTGTTAATTACATGAAGAACCTTTTAAGGTGTTTATCTTCATTTATTTACATTAAGGTCGTTTAAGGTGTTTATCTTCTATTATTTCCATGAAGGCCTTTTTTTAAGGTGTTTATCTTCTATTATTTCCATGAAGGCCTTTTTTAGGGTGTTTATCTTCTATTACTTCTATGAAGGCTCTTTTAAGGCGTTTATCTTCATGTATTTTAAATGAAGGCCTTTTAAGGGTGTTTATCTTAATTTATTTACATCATGGCCTTTCAGGGTATTTATTTTCAATTATTTACATAAGAATCTCTTCACAATGTTAATTTCTGTTATTTTCATGAGGGATTATTTTAGAATGTTTATCTTCATTTATTTACATTAAGGCCCCTTTTAAAGTGTTTATCTTAATCTATTTAAAAGAAAGACCTTTAGAGAGTTTATTTTCTATTATTTACATGGAGACCCTTTTAAGGTATTTATTTTCTATTATTTACATGAGGGCCTTTTTTATAATATTTATCTTCTGTTATTTACATGAAGGCACTTTATGGTGTTTATCGTATATAATTTATATGAGGTCCTTTTTAGGGGCTTCTATTATTTACATGATATATATATTTTAGGGGCTTCTACTATTTACATGATATATATATTTTAGGTACTATTTGATGATCGATTATATGTCATTTCATTTTCATCCAATGGTGGGCAGAGCACAGATAGCCCATTGTGTAGCTTTGTGCTTAATTACAAACAAACAATTTTCATCTAACTGAGTGTCCTTTAAATCCTAGAATATAGAATTTGATGGTTAATATTTTTGTAAATTAATTTTGTCTGGTAAAATACATTCAGTTAAAAATATTTCGTTTTAATTGAAATTCAGAATACCTTAACACCTAAAAATCCCATGACTCAACGACATGATATTAATAATGCTGTTGTCGGTTTATAGATGGAAGCACCGTAAGTTTTCTGCACGAGTTAATTAAACTGAATTTAATTACGATGCTTTTACCCTTTCTGGTTAAAAGTAACAGTGATATTAAAAAAAAAAAAAACAGTTGACTAAAAAGTATAGGTAAATCATTTATATGGTTTAATGAAAATGAATAAATTTTATTATTTGTCTTTAATTCTTTCGACACTTACCAAGGGATTTCATCTACTCTTAAAATATTTAACTTATAATCGTCTTAAATTATCTTCCGTTATCCTTTCTATTTAATCTGCATTGTTAAACGGTATATAGATATTGCCTGTTTTCGGTAAGTATTATATGTTGAAACAAACCACGTATCCTCACGTGCATTGTACATTAAAGAAAATACCGAATGTATTTAATTAGGTAAAATACAAATATATGAAGGTTAATTTACTGATCCAAATTTTCGAAACATCTAAGCGACAGGATTTTTTTCCTTCTTCGCTTGGTCTTGATGAATCCAGTCAAAATTGGAGAAGAAAACGCAAATGCTGCACGATCA